TGAATTGTCTGATTCTTACTTAAACAACATATGCATTGAAAGGTTCTTTAAAAAAAAAAAATCAAAACAGACCAAAAACCCCCAAACAACTCAAAACAAAAAACCCCACCTCTAGACACCATACTTTCCCCACAGTTATACCAAAAGACCTCAGGATAAGAAAGGATAGATGTAGAGGCTCTGGTAGTCTGACCCACGGTCAAGTATCCTTTTCACTAAACAGCATACAAAGTATAATGAATATGTTTGGCCCAAATCACCAAAATACTTCAGAATGTACTTGAATCATTTTCTTGATTACAGCTATTTTTCTTAAATCTAGCTTAATACTGTCAGGTTTGCTAGCAGTTTTTGAAACAGTTATTTCGTTTTCTTTGAATTTACTCCTGTACTTCAGTTTCCAATGCAATTTGGATCATTAGAAGTGTCTTCTACTTTAACAGTTATAACCTGAATCATTATCAATTAACCAGTCAAGCCAAAAAATGCTGACTCCTTTTTTCCCCCCCGTCATTGTAATTTCCATCTTAGAGGAGGAATTCAATTAAACACAAGAGAGATATTTCTGTACAAGATTATAGACTACAAGAACAACCACCAGTTTACAAATTTTAATGCCTAGATAGTTTTCAAAACTGCATGTCTGCATTTTCAAAACCAGAAAGTGCCATATATATATATAGAGAGAGAGAGAAGATCAACTAAGTAACAATTGGAGTTAAAAAAAAAGCTGTCACTGTCCACAGGAACCATGTCTAGTCACATTTTCAGTCAGTCAGTCAGTCAGCTGAGGGTCATGTCATTATTTAGTTTCTGTAGAAAAAACACAAGTACAAAAATAGTATCAAAAAGCAACATACCTGTTTTAAAATATATATATATAAACCATAATTGTTACAACAGAATATAATTAAGGCTTTCAATATACTTAGAATAATATTAAAATTTGTATACTCTTCTCCAGCATTTGAAGAAGTACTTCTTTCTCTGAGCAGTGTGTGAAAGCCAGCAATTTTTCTGCAGTATACTGTTGATACAAAATATAGTTAACTTTTTTTTATTCTGGACTATATTTCAGCTACAATACAATTACTTTTTAAAAATATTTTTGCACAGAAATAAATAATTAGAAATATACATGTTAGACTTCATGATTTTAATAAACTAAACTAAAAAAATTAATGCAAATCAAATCAGTGATGAGGGACTATTTTCAGGACAAGGATAATAGAAGACAACAACAATCAAGTATTTCATGACAGAATAAACATTTTTCAACTTAATAACTAAATAATTATTTAAGACACAACACCAAGTGCTTTCAGAAGGGAAAAAATGCAATGAATCCATTTGCTGTGGGTTAAAGCCAATCAGCAATGATTATTAAGAGCCACAGAATCCAGCCCTAGATATCTGTGCTTTGCGTTTCTACTATAGTGTAGTTAGAAGCTCTGCTTTCTAAAGACTAATTGAAAGCTTCGTGAAAAATGTTTTGGGTGGGTTTTGGGGTTTGGTTGCTGAGGGTTTTTTTGTTTGTGGGGTGGGTTTTTTTTTTTTAGGGGGTGTGGTGGTATTTAAATAGAACTACTAGGTTGCAAGTAAAGAGATTAGTCAGAATTCCACAACACATTCTTCTGAAAGATACCAAATTCTTTCCTCCTCTTCTATTTTTGAGTGACATAATTTATACAACAAGCATCAGACAATTGCAGAGGTTCTCAGGAAATACTCAAAGCAATGCAAAAAACCTGAGTAGAGAGCACAAGCTGGTCAACACCAGGAACATTAAGATTGCTTCTGCTTTTAGCAACTGCCTAAAAGTACACACTGTAGTTGTCTTCTCAAGCCTACACCGACTCAGAGCAAGATGGTTTAAAGTGATTTCAACCATGAATACTTACTTAGCACAAGAGGGGAGAACCTCACCCTCCCAAAAAAACAACTTACATTAGAACTTAAAGTAGTTAAGAGAACCTTATTGGTCTGTATTTCCATCATTTCTCTGCTACTTTTAACTACTCTCATAAACAATTGAATTTTCATTGACTTGTAGGAGAGCCAGAGCCTGCAAAATTCATTAGATGGATTAGTTTAGTCTATTAGTACACAGGTACTCAAATTCTCCTAATAAACAAAGGTTGTTGTAAGACAATAGACTGTTCTTATGATCAGAAGTTTACATTGCAAGAGCATTATCAGTAGCGTAACATTACCATAAAACATTTTTAAGAAACAATTCTTAGTAATATTTAAAAATATTATTTACATATTAAAAATACTATTGGAGAAAAAAAACTTCCAGAAGTCAGATAAAAATTGCCTTGAAATAATAAATATTTTATTTAAATTTAATTTATTTTCATATAGATTCTACTGAGTTCACAGATTTTATTACAGATTTTAAACAGAGAACCTTGTATAGAAAGGAGTATTGCTGAAATCCAGTCACCTTGTTAGAGATAAAAGGCAAGCAATACAACAGGACTTTAGAAGGGGTTTTATTTTCTTTAAGAGGCAATGACTTCCTTAAGTGAAAACTCACAGAAGTTTTAGCTAAAAGATTATTTCCTCAAGATAAAATTCAAAAAGAACAAAGGTTAATATTCTCACATACAAAAAAGAAAAAAAGCACTAATTCAGAGGTAGAGAGAATACCATCCCCTTTCACATGCACAATTTAAAGCTTTAACTGAAAGTAAAATACAAGTCTCTAAACTACTGCAAAACTTGTTTGTCAGTCAGTCCAATGCAGAGCCACACATCAGTAAGCTTTATTTAATAGGACAAGCCCTTTTAAAAAGGAGCACAGATGGAGTCTTTCTTTTTATGTACCATTTTGTTTGAATTTGACAAACTGGCTAGGGGACAAAAAGAGAGCATGTAACTTTGTCTGTCTATCCTAAGAAGAGATAGATGCTAAGATAGCCTGCTAAAAGACTCCGAATTGGGAATCTGATGTACAGGATGTAACAAGATGCGACACAATAAATTTAGAAAGCTCTTCTACCTGTTATTGTACAGAGACAGCAGACAAAGGCTAACCAGCAGGGAAATATTCAGCAGTCATTTGCACCAGAATTACAGGTAATCTGTCCAAAACAGTTTTAGGGTGTCCTTCTTTGAACAAGCTAAAAGTAGTGCTTTCTGTTATCTGTAACTTTTCAGAAATGTAAAAACCTAGGAAAGGACAAAAAGCTCTGCTGTAATTTCGTATAAGGAGATTATTCTTCAAATAGGACCTTATTTCTTCAGTTTTCTAATTAAGTAAAATGGCACAACTCTTTACAAGGGAGTTCAGGTTTCTAAATAGTCAATAATAGGTACATATTAGAATTTTTGAACATGATTTGAAATATAAAGTAAGTTTAAGCCTTTTGAAAATCCCATTTGGTGACCAACTGCATCTTTTGTCAACTGGAGACCTTAAACAATCTTACCAAAAAAATCACACTGAAAAAATGCATTCATGTGAATAAAAAAAACCCCTCCATTTTATATTGACAATCAGAAGGGAACCTCCCAGTCTTCTCACTCTTATCTTTCTTAAAAACAAAGACAGAAAAAGTAAGGAGAAATCATCTTTCGAATTTTGGATGTATATCATATCTACACTTTTCTATTAAAAAGTAGACAAGGCAGACCTGGTATTACAGTTACACTTTACATGATAGTTTTTCCTGTAGCGACCAAGAGGCTGGCCTTTTTTATTGGAAGTAGCAGTCACATTAGAAACAAACAGAACCTTTGCACAAAGATAAGAGCACGGGTACAAGTTACTTAAAATTGCATTCACCAGAGCTGATGATTAAAAAAAGTTTCAAGTGAGTTTCAGCTACAATTCAAGGCAGGAAAAAATGCTAGAAATCTATTTTTTTAAAAAGCAAGTTGTGTATAAAGACTAAGGCCACCTTTAGTAACTGCTGTTTATCAAAACAACATGAAAGTACTTAGGAACAAAGAAGGAAAAGAACACTGTGGGCAAAATCTTTTTCAGTCTTTACAACTCCCAGGTCACAAGGAGTATCTACATAAAGAAAAGTACAAGCAGTGGAGCTTAGGAGAAAAATATTGATGCAAAAAGAGTCAAGATTTCATGTGATGTTTTCTGAATGAGTTAAAGCAAAACTGCATGTCCCCTATAAAGATAATATGGCTATTGAAATTATCTGGAAGCTACAGTAATATTTGGGAGTTACTTTGTAGAAAGCAGGGCTTAGCCTTTCCTCCCCCAACTATATTTCTCTTTCGCTAATAGTCCTAATGATATAAATAGATAAATAAATAAATAAACAATGTCATTTGACTCAACCCAATGTTTTATAAGAACAAGTGAATTTTGGTCCCTGAAGTCTAGAAAACCTCTCTAGGAGCTCAGCCAGCTTTCACAGGCCATAAGCATCAATTAATATGTTCTCAAACTAATTATATTAAACATACACCTCAATCCCACTGCAACAGGCTCTGCAATATTTTCTTCACTATCACACATCCCAAATACCCCAGACCTTCAGTTTCACCTGGCAACCCTTCCCTGTCCTTCCCACGTCCTTTTTTATTTACCCCTTCCCTCCTCTGCCCTTCAAGGACTAAACTACATCTTTATCCAACACCATTGTGAGGGCATGTGTTTTTAATGAAAGACAGACACACACACACAAGCTGATCTCAGTTCCATTCTTTATTTTTGCATACTCTTCAGTGTTAACCGTTACTCTGATGTACATAAAGTGAACATCCAGGTTTATGTTAATCAATTGGTTCATAACTGTTCAAAAATTATAAAAATAGATTTTTACTAAAAGAAAGTGTACGTGTGCATATGTAAGTATACACACACCCATATATACATGTATGCATACACATATATATCACAAATTAAATTTCAAGTTGTTAGATAAAAATAGATTTAAAGTTTATCACTACATGTTCATATCTAACATCAAAATACTTTGCCTATCACTGTCTCAAGTAGTTGATATGTATTTGAACTTCAGTTTAAGTTAACAGCTCAGACTGGGTACTCACCTGCTCAGTAAGTTCTCTGGCGTTTGTTAGATTCTTCTGTAGGAGAGTCTGCCAACCTTACTTTAAGCCTGACACCATTCACAATCTTGCCATGTAACGCAGTTATGGCATCACTGGCACTTGCTCTGTCTGCAAATTTTGCATAGCCCACATTTTTTCCAGCCACAAGGTAAACTTTTATCAAGTGTCCAAAACGACTGTGGAGGAGAGAGAAAAAAGGAAGAAAAAGATAATTTACAGGTTTTCCTGCAACACTGATATCTATTATCCAATCTGAACTATAATAGCTTGGTAGCTGCAAAATCAATATTCTCATATGTATGCTGTATTTTCTTGTGCTGCCCTCTTCCAAAATTCCCAATTTTCGTATTCCCTTCTCTAGAATTCCAGGCAGCAATAGAAAAAAACCCAAAAGTTCATAGGCAATGTTTTCTATGGAATATTACATTAGAACCAGAAGCACCAGTGATTTCTCTTATTTAAAAAAAAAAAAAGTAAAGCTAATCAATACCATAATCTCCAAACACTAAATGGCACTCAAATAACACCCACAAAAATAAAACAAAAAAAAAAATCCCAAACGAACCAAGACGAACACACACACACAAACCAGCAGATAATTCAGAGGCTAAACTCGCATCTCACTTAAATTAACTTGATCATTTGTGATTCATCTTTGAAAAGATCTCTCTAAAATGACTCAGAAAGCAAGTGCTAAAGCTGTACGGAAAAAAATCCAACAGATTTCCAAGTCCTCAGGAGAGTCGTAGACAGTTCCTTAAAAAAGTGTTTTTAAAAAATAAATAAAGCCTGCTTGCTGCATACTGAAGTTATACCAGTGTCAAGACTAGGGTGCATAGCCTTTTTCTTCTCCGGCAGCTGATTAAGAAAATACACTGTATCAAATAGGTACAGTTTTAAATTCTACATAAGTGCATATTGTTTCTTTTCCTCTCCTGGTGCTTTGAAAGTATTTTGGCTTTTGAAAGATTTATTGCAAATGCCAGCTATTAGAAAAGGGAAATGTCTTTTTCTTCAAGAGTATACTAAAAATAAATAATATAAAATACTGGAGAACAGCTGAACTATAGATTTGTTTTAAAGATGGCAAAAGTTGTCTCTCAAGTCTTTGCTCCTCACAAGGAGATAATGTGAAAGGACAGTTGAAATAGTGTCAATAAGATGCAAATCATCAAAATGTTTCAGGATAGATCAGCAAAAACCTCCCTATACTTACTCCGCTACATTACTGGGGAAATTTATCAAAACACTTAAATTCCTTATAAAAATATGTACAAGAAAATACCAAATAAATTAGGCTACAAAAACCAGAAGTACCACATTTTTGGTTAAAAATTGTTAAGAGACTAGACATTTTACTTCAGATTGCATTAATCTGAAGTAAAAATAAGTAATAAAGCTGCTGTACTGATGACATTGCATCTATGCTTCAAGGTGAATTCCATTACACATTTGTTCCAAAAAGCAAGTTACCTGTTGATCACTTATTACTTCTTGATCACTGTGCACTGTCTTTTATGGAAAGAGTTTTCACGATGACAACCTCTTTTTTTATTTTCAACATTTATTTTAAATATTTCATGGGGGTTTTTTTTGGTTAGAGAACCCTTATTTGTAAATGGAGTCTTACCAGAACACGTCCTCCAATACATTTACAGGTAAAGGATGGGGATGAAAAAGTATGAAAAGCCTTTCCTTCACAGAAGTGTCAGGTGGAACTTTTTTTTTGTGTGGTGGAAGTATGGCATCTGTTTGGGGCTGAAGTAACTGCGAGCCCGAAGTTCCTCCAAATGCCTGCTGAAACAAGGGAAAAAATGCAAGTATAAATTAACCAAGGGCCGGCGGGGGAAAGTCATTTTACCTTATTTACAATTCTTCTTCCTACCACAGGACATAAACAGGCTCTACCAGTTCTCATCTCAATTAACTTGTTTATTTTGAGTTATTTAATTAAATTGGGCAATAAATCCAAGTTAGGTCTGATACCTTTACAGGCAATAAAAATGTACAAGCCAACCAGAGGTACATCTTTAAAATGTAGCACGTAAAACATTTACAGAAGAAAATAAGCAGTGTTCTTTATTGACATATCTGAAGTTTCTTACAACAATTCAGAAGTATATTAACAGTATCCATTATATTAACTTACAGGAGGTGTCCTATACTGCTGAACAATTGCATTGTTATTCCGCAACACTGATGACACATGTGCTGTTACCAGCTGTGTTGCCATTTTTCTGATAAGGCTGCAAAGCAGAAGCGATAAGAAACTATTTTAAAGAAAGAGTAAGTTACGGTCATCTTAAATTCAGCAAGAGAAAGCAAGATTTAATGCACATCTGAAAATATCTCTGGAAATCTGTAAACTCATGTAGATAAAATATCAAATCAGGCTTTCATGACACTCTAGACATGATCTGAAAGTGTGCATGCTAACTGCCACTCACTGAAAACACTCATACATTTCTACGTATACAAAACTTTCCTTTGCTCTTTTTAATACACTAGGGGAAAAGAAATTAAAAAATTAACTTTACAGAGCCCACTACTTTTTGTGAAAGGTGCCTGAAAGGCAGAAGGGACAGAAAAGTTTCACCTGTTTCAATAAAGAATACAGAGATTCAATTCAGAAGTCAGAATATTATCACTGAAAGTTTACTTGCAGCTCTCATTTTCCAGCATTTTTTCGTTGTTCTGTTGCAGAATAAGAAAAAGCAATTGCACTTTTTGCATAGATTCGCAGTCCCTGTTGTAGGACCATGAAATAGTACGAATTATTGAAGAATGAAGGCAATTGTTTGCAAGAAGGATGGTTGCAATAAATTTTTCTTTTTTTTTTTTAGTTAAGATCAGGCATGCATTTCTGAAGTGAATCTCCCCGTTGTGGCTCCTTACTGTCCTCATTCATATCCCAGAATAGGTTTGACATGAACGACATTCCTTTAGCATGAAACTAAGCCAAAATATTCACTGCAGGAGTGTCCCTAAGCTACTCCAACTTGTAATGGGCACTCCAATCACAGAAAGAGATTGGAGATGGTCAAAGTAAAATCTGACAATCCCCATACAGTGAGGATATCAGATCCTCAGCACCAAACAGTCTTACTCTACATATGTGCTTCACAAGGCTAGTATTTGCAGTACTGCAAAACACAACTGGGAGATCAGGTTGATAAATCTGGTTTTAATACAAAAACCTAATCAAAAACTCATTCCAGCCTTGTTACATATTACAGAGACATTTACACAGATTCTTGCCAAATCTAACATTTTCCAATGTATCTTAAGAATGTATATTTTAATCTTTTGTTTACCAAAGACTAGTAAGTTTCAACAGGCTTATTCTAAACAACAACAACATACCAAAATGCCTAGACTTCAGAAAATACTATCTACAAGTATGAAACAAGATCACAGTGACATTGCTGTTACTTCTTATGTTAAAAAAAATCATTTATTTATTTACTTTAAAATTTGCTCTCCAGAACACAACTTAGAACTTTCTATCTCTATGTATTGGTACTTACTCTGAGCTATCACTCCCATCTTCTAGGAAAATGACAGTTAATCGATTTCCAGGAGGATACTCAAAACCGTGTAATTTATACTTGGCGTATATAGCTGATGCAGCAGTACTGTACTGAATGACAGCGTACCCTACAAATACAGTGCACACAGTTTCAGTATGATATGGATAAGTCCTAAGAATAAACTACACTCATATAAAGCAATATGATTAAACTGCACAATAGTCACGATGATACAAAATCCTTAAGTCTTTTTACCACACATTACATTACTTAATAGCAACATCACCAATATTTGTGAAGAAAACTTCAGTGGAATCAATTAGTGACAGGTGAGCTATACTTGAAAAGCCGGTAATAAAGCAACACAAGTGAAAACATGTCTTCTTCCCTAACCCTGAATTAGAAACAAAAACATTTACAGTTTCAGTTTAAAATGCAATATCCCATCAAGGGTGAATCTCAAGTACCGTAAAGTTACATTTTAACTCTCTGAATTGCTTCCATTTCAAGCTTCTAGAAGAACCCTGTTCGACATTTTTCTCAGCAACAGCAAAACAACAAGAAGATTGAAATCAAAACAATCCTTCCAATACAAAACATGATTTATTTGGACTGATTTAATCCAGTTTACTCATGTCAGCTTCTACACACAGATACCCCTCCCCCCAATTTGAAGACAAAAACTCAAAAGATCTGTTTAGAGAACACTTAAACAAGATGTCTAATAATTTTTGAAACTTTTTCTCCACTTATTCTGCCCAAAATTATTAATTTAATTTGACCAAAACCCACTCCTCATGGTTTTGATTCTGTCCTTCTTGAGATTCTATTATTTGAAAATAAAGGTATTTAAGGCTATCTGTAAAGAGGGATTCAAACAAAACTGAATTTTTGGGTTTATGCATCAGTGATAACAACCATTGATACATAAAACATTAACTCTTTCCAACAAGTGTACTGTATTTTGCAATACAAATGAATTGAAGTAAAATTAAAAGGCATTCCCTTCATAGAACGAAAATACATATATTTGTACTTTTACTTACCACTATTGGTATGAGGATCTCGCTGAACATCACAATATTCCAGTCCTGGGATTAGATCAAAGAGGGCAAACAGCTGCTCTTGGATAAAGGGAAGCCGTGATACCACTGACAGACGTTTGGAGACTGACTCTTGAATTCTGCTCTCATGTTTTTCAAAACTACAAAACTCCGGCTGCCCACCTCAAGAATCAACATAAAAATAAATAATTTGAGTCATCACACCAGCATGCCTTCATTTCATACATATTTTTCATTCAACTTTTAAAAGTAATCTAAGTCAATTGTATACTAAAGGTAACGTGTTTATTTCACCAACGCAGGTCAGGAAATAATCAACCAGCTTGAGCAAGGTGAGCCATAAAAATATAGAAACAAAACACCTGGCTTGTTTCTAACTCCAACATCCAACCTACTGTTTAAGTGTTGATCTAAGCCTCTGTTAGCTTCCCTTCTTCCAAACTGCATTCTTACTTTGTGACCACACTCGCAACTACAAATCATTTTTAGTATAAAAATCTGTGACTTACAAAACAGAAGTGTATTTCCTCGTGGTTCTTGCCTTGTGTTGTTACTATAATAATCGTGTTCAAAAGACTCGGATGACTTATTTTTCGGTTCAGCTAAAATCGCCCTGTAGCCTGAAAGAAACAACCACACATACAGCAACACCTCAGCACATCCGAATTACCTGACCAGATTTGCATTCTCCAAGTACTATATTTAGAAACATATTATTCAGAAAACCCAGTAAGTGCTGGCTTTAGGAAAATAACTGATCTATAACTCTTGAAGCGTACCATAATAATTGTGTGAAAGTTAACACCTTCCACATAGAACTACTCCTAGTCACAAGTTAAGCATGGCAGAGACTACTTGTTGTGGAGTCTCCATCCTTGGAGATATTCAAAAGCTGTCTGGACATGGTCCTGGGCAACCAGTGCCCAGGTGACCCTGCCTGAGCAGAGGGGTTGGACAAGATGACTTCCAGAGGCCCCTCCCAACTTCAACCATTTTGTGATACTTAGCAGGATTCAGAGATGCTCCAGAGGCAACCACCTGAACTTCTGTGCTATTAACAGAAGTTCATGTATGTTTTGCACTAATCTAGGGTTTGATTTTATGAAAGGAAGAGGTATTACTCTCAGGCTATCCCACTAATTTCATTTTAACCTCACAGCAAAAAGGAAATAACATTTAACTGCTAAGTAATCTCAGATTCATATTCCTATGCAAGAATTGTCACAAATACGATTTTTGTAGAACCATTTATGATAGATATAATGTAGAACCACCACATATATTACTGGAGAAAAAAGACAAGACACCCACACAAGAACAACAGAAAAACAACCACATCCACACACAAAGTTGTTTCACATTTGAAATATTCATATTCATAAGCAAACAGTGAACAGGAAGTTGGACCGGAAGGCTGCTGTTAGGTGTTCCCAAAAGCCTTTCTTCTCCTGGATAAGCCATCCCAGTTCCCTCCCTCTCTCCTTGTAAGTCATGTGCTTCAGCCCCTGACTACCTTGGAGGCCTTCCACCAGACTTTCTCAAATTCATTAATACTTTTTTGGTACTAGGGCATAAATGACAAATGGTTGGTCATAAAGCATACAAAGTCTTTCATTCTGTAACAGCTTAATCATGACATTAAATGAAAACAAACAAAAAACACCCCAAACTTCAAGCAGGATGAATTTGTTCTTAAATAAATGTAGAATCCCTATGGATTATCAAATATATTTTTATATTTGATAATACATACATATATATATATAAAAAATTGATTTAAAATGCATATTCCCAGGAATACATTAAAATGAGGTTTTCCGGTGTAGGAAGCCTACATAAGAGGCCAATAATGCATGAAAGAAAACTCTGTATCCATTTCCAAACTCTTTTCACTGATCTTCCTTGCAGTTTGGTCCTGCAAGAATGAAAATCAGGTGGCTGTTCTCAATGGATGTTAATAATAGTATTTTTTATTTGCAATAGAACTTTGTCTCAAGATGTGCTTATATCGTAAATAAGTTACCTGCAAACAAAACTAAAAATTAAAGGTACATTAATGATGATACACACTTATTCTGAAAAACTTGAAAGAATTCAGTCAGATTCTTACTTCGATCGCACTCTTCAATTGCTCGGGCAGCTTGCGATGGTTTTAAATACCTCACATAGCCCAAACCTTTACTTTCTCCAGTAGTCTTGTTTTTAATAATGCTGCAATATTCAATGTCTCCATAGATCTGGAACAATTAAAAAGCACATTAATTTACAATATTGAAAATGCATTAAAGTTCCATGCGTTCAGCCGTTATGAGAGATTAAGACAAAGGCAATTTAAAACAACAATTAGCAAATAGCAAATCAGTACCTTAAACTTCTCTCGCAGATCTTCTTCTGTATAGGATTTTGGTATCATAACAAAGATTCGTGTAAGCTCCTCATCTTCAACGTCTCGGTGGCTTCCAGAAGCTCTTGACTGTGCAATAAATACCTAATGAAATAATTACATAGACATTAATTACTGGAGAAAGGGTCTTAATCACATATCAACAAGCAGGAAAATTTTTTTTAACAAGTCTTTGTATCTATCTTTCACATAAGCTAGCTTTCCTAATATGGAAAAGAACATCTCTGATCATAGATGCATCTGCAACAAAAAAACTATAAATATAACACATCCCCAATGGTTTCCCAAACAGGACAGAGGCCAGCAGAAGTTTTCACTGGGGGTAATGAAAAATGGTCAGGAATATCAAAGCCTGATTCGGCAGCACTGCCAATGTCACAGGTGGCATGTGAGGTAGAAAAAAATGCATTACTGCAACAGGCCTAGTATAGCAGTAGCAACAAAAAATAAGTGGGCAAACAAACAAAGAAGCCTAGCTGCTTATTAAAACCTCACTACTGCAGTTCACTGCTCACTTAGGCCAGCGCCTGCAGGTCTAGTGCTCTAGGAAGGATTGTAACTTCTCACATCTGTAACTGTTAAAATCCTTTTTAATTATTGAAACAAATTTAATCTCAGAAGACAACCAGGCAAAAAAAAAAACCCACAAAACCCAAACAAATAAATAAACAAACCAAAAACAACCAAATAAGAAAAATATGAACAACCTTCAAAGTAAGCCTCTTGCACAAAAGCAGCAACTGATTTCACACAGCTCTTAAATTATTTTTCTAATAGTCATGCTCGGGAGTAAGGAATACAACTACAATCTTTTGGCTTCTAATGACAAGTTCTTCAGGAAAGATTTTACTGACTCAGTTGCTTTTTCAAATGAAACACAGGGAATCTTCTTTCACTGTTCAGAGTCATTCATATCTTCTCAGTACTCAGGGATTGTGAAAACAATTCAAGAGGCTGAAAGCTGCCAGCGAGTTCCATAGATTAAAAAAAAAACATAATTGTTTTGAAAGAACTGCACACAAGATAGAAAACCAATATAAAATATACTCACAAAGACAGTTCTATTTATCCACGTTGATCTTGCTTACAACACTTAAAATATACTGTCTTAGAATGTTTCACAGCGATTCCCTCAAGGTTAAAAAAAAAAAAGTGCTAGTTTCCAGATACTGCGTTTTCCCCAGGGCTATTGCAGCCTATGCCACCCGTGGGAACTTCAGGCAAGGGTGAGACCCACCGCAGCTCCTCCTGAAGAGCACCGCCAAGCCCGCAAGCCCCGCAGCCCGAAACCGCCTCGGGTTTGACGCAAAAGGGTGACAGCATCAGCACCAGCACCCGCAGTGCGTGCGGAGAGAAGGCCACAAGGAGCGGGTCTGACGCTCTCCGTGGCGGCTCGCTGCCTGCCACCAAGCGAGGCGGCGGGTTTTCCAGGGCTGCTCCCGGCAGGCCTGCGCCACC